AACAATAAAATCATAAAACTAGATTAGCACAAAAAGATAACTTAGATCTTTAACTCAAGATGATTAGACCTTAAATCAAAGAACACCAAGCTCTGATACCAATTGTTAGACCCTAGAGGGGGGATGATTAGGGTCTTATGCTAATCTAATCCGATTTTATGTTAATTAAAACTAATTAATAAATTATTCTTGTAAGATAGATATACAATATGTTACAAGCAAGAATAAGCAATATGAACAAAGGGATATATCCTAGCAATGAGATATATGGTGAAATATATGCAAGGATATATAAACAACACAAGGGTAAACAATCTAAACTAAAGATACAATTGTGATAGGGCAATATAAACAATACAAACACATAATATGATCACGGAGTTCGTACCTTCCGTCCTACGTCTCCGCTCTCTACTCCCGGAGAGAAATCTACTATCATAACCGGGTTTTCTACGCTTACCCGAATAACGTTTACACCTCACTCTCGGTTTTCTAACTAACCGAAAACTTTACAATCACCATTCTTGCAATCCCACTCTATACCCTCTCAAGTGTTGGTTACAGACGTGTCTCCCTCAAGTGTTAGGAATTACAACCTCTCTCTAGATATGTTACCTACCCCTCTCCTCTTGGGATGATCCCCGACTCACACCACACACTTCTCTCGGTGTACAAGTGTATTACAAAGTGATCTCACAAATTACGCATGAATACAACAATAGTTGTTCTTTACAATGGGTGAGAACTCAATTAAGCACAACTCAATGTTACAAACTCTCACAACCCAATTATACTATATATGTAAATACTATAGGCTTAATGTGGGTGTGTGTAACAATGAGAATAAATAAATTTTAACTCAAGAAGAACTAGCAATAAAATTGATATGAAATACAATAGTAAAAATGCTAGGAAGTTGAGTTAAGGAAACTTCTCTATAAACACAAAGAGAGAATGATGAAATATTGAAGATGAACTCCTCAACAACTGATGTAAACTCCTCTTTGTAAAAGTAAATCCCAAACTTAAAACAAACTAAACAAGCATAAACCCTTGTTAAGCTTTTGTTTAAAAACTTCTTGGATAATCATGAAAGATGAGAGCAAGGGGGTTTTTATAGCCTGCCAAAACCTTAGCCAAAAACCTCAAACAAAAGACCAAAAAGCCCATAGAAAACAGCTTAGGAAAAGAGCCGTTGGAAGCTGATTGAGTGTTCGGCGGTCGACGTGGAAATCGCGCGGTCGATCGCGAGCAACAAAAAGGCCAGGGAATCTCTCTGGACATCAGCCGGTCGACTGTGACGGTCGACCGCGAAACTTCCTGAACTGCATCCGGTCGACCGCCACGGTCGACCGCGAGCCATCAAAAAATTTATTGAGTCTCTGAACATAGTGTCTCATATTTAATTTTTAAATCCATAATTCATGATTCTTGTATGTTACTTTTGAACTATGAAAATTTTGCTTTGATTTGTTCTTTTGAATTCATTATATAAGCACAATAGATGATTCAAATGTCAAATATGCTTTATAATGTATTCTTTATGTAGTTTGATCAAGTTTTACAAAGAAATTTTCTTTATTGATCAAACATCATTTTTTTACTTAAAATTTGATTTATGATTTCATTTGGTTAATTTGTTTTTATTTGAAAACTTTTTGCATGATTCCTATGTTGCTCTTCTTTTGATTTCATAAATCTATTTTTTACACTATATTTTTTGATATGAGACACTATGTTCATCTTGATATATTTATATATGTTCTCATTATCTCTTGTATGTGAGTGATATTTAGCATATTTTTTATTTATGCTTGCTCACATATTTGCCATGATCTTTTATTTCATATACTCCATATGAGATTTTGATAGGGGAGAAATCCCTATATTTGTTTTATACTCACCCATGCTCATATGTAGGGGGAGCTTTCGCTCTCTTCATTCTTTATGGTTTTCCCCTTTTTGATGTTGTCAAAGGGGGAGAAATATTGTGAGTATAGCCTTTCTTGTTTATATTCATGATAATTATAATATTGTATATTCATTTCATTTCATGCATATATTCTTTTTGTAAATTATTTGTCCTCATCAAAAAGAGGGAGATTGTTGGTCTCTTTGTTTTGATGATGTTTAAGAAACAATTAACCACTAATGTTATTTGTCTAGTATTTATATATTTCTATTTATTATAGACAAATAACAAGTTAGAGGATGGATGGAATTGCGCATTTACGATCATATCCAATGAAGGTTGGCGGAATTGTGGAGTGAAGCCTACACAATTCAAAGTTAAAGATTCAAGTTCAAGCTTCATCCGCAAGTGTACCAAGATAGAGCTTCGTTGAAGATCATCAAACTTGGGTAAATTTAGTTTTAGGTTTTATATTATGTGTGTTAGTACTTTAAGCTCAATCATATACACACATACACATTTTGGTTTTGTATATATATAGTTATATATATACATATATATTTTGGTTTGATAGTTTTCTAGTTTTAATATGAAACAATTGAATATAATTAGAAAACATATTTTGTTTCATATTTACATGCATATATATGATTTCATCAATATCAATTTTATTTAGTTCAATAAAATCATATTTACTTTTGAAATGTTTGCAAAATATGTAATTTTGTGAAAATATTATTTTCTTTGTTTATGGACTTAATAACAATCATATACATCTTTTATTAAGTCTATATAATCATTTTGTAATGTTTCAAAACATGGTTAAGCTAAAATATCAAAACTCATATGTTTAAATTTTTATGTTTTGGACTATTTTGCAAAATAATGATATTTCTCATTTAGGCATTCCTTTTTGAAAACTAGTTTTTGTAGCATGTTTATTATCATGTCTATAATCATTTTCCAAAGTTTTTTATTTTTCTGAATTTGTTTGATATTTTTAAACAGGGTTTCAAAATCAGAAAATAGTTTTTTGCATGTATCTGTTTGTAGTCGACCACCACGGTCGACCGCCTTGAGTCCAGAGACTCAATAAATTTTTTGATGGCTCGCGGTCGACCGTAGCGGTCGATCGGATGCAGTTCAGGAAGTTTCACGGTCGACCGTCACGGTCGACCGGCTGATGTCCAGAGAGTTTCCCTGGCCTTTTTGTTGCTCGCGGTCGACCGCGCGATTTCCACGGTCGACCGCCGAACACTCAATCAGCTTCCAACGGCTCTTTTCCTGAGCTGTTTCTATGGGCTTTTTGGTCTTTTGTTTGAGGTTTTTGGCTAAGGTTTTGGGAAGCTATAAAAACCCCCTTGCTCTCATCTTTCATGATTATCCAAGAAGTTTTTAAACAAAAGTTTAACAAGGGTTTAAGCTTGTTTAGTTTGTTTTAAGTTTGGAGTTTGCTTTTACAAAGAGGAGCTTACATCAGTTGTTGAGGAGTTCATCTTCAATATTTCATCATTCTCTCTTTGTGTTTATAGAGAAGTTTCATTAACTCAAATTCCTAGCATTTTTACTATTGTATTTCATATCAATTTTATTGCTAGTTCTTCTTGAGTTAAATTTTATTTATTCTCATTGTTACACACACTCACATTGAGCTTATAGTATTTACATATATAGTATAATTGGGGTTGTGAGAGTTTGTAACATTGAGTTGTGCTTAATTGAGTTCTCATCCATTGTAGAGAATAACTATTGTTGTATTCATGCGTAATTTGTGAGATTACTTGGTAATATACTTGTACACCGAGAGAAGTGTGTGGTGTGAGTCGGGGATCGTCCCAAGAGGAGTGGGGTAGGTAACATACCTAGACAGAGGTTGTAATTCCTAACACTTGAGGGAGGCACGTCCAACACTTGAGAGGGTGTAGAGTGGGATTACAAGAGTGGTGATTGTAAAGTTTTCAGTTAGCTAGAAAACCGAGTGTGAGGTGTAAACGTTGTTCAGGTAAGCGTAGAAAACCCGGTTGTGATAGTAGATTTCTCTCCGGGAGTAGAGAGCGGAGACGTAGGACGGAAGGTCCGAACTCCGTGATCATATTATGTGTTTGTATTGTTTATATTGCCCTATCACAATTGTATCTTTAGTTTAGATTGTTTAGCCTTTTGTTGTTTATATATCATTACATATATTTCACCATATATCTCATTGCTAGGATATATCCCTTTGTTCATATTGCTTATTCTTGCTTGTAACATATTGTATATCTATCTTGTAAGAATAATTTATTAATTAGTTTTAATTGGTATAAAATCGGATTAGATTAGCATAAGACCCTAATCACCCCCACTCTAGGGTCTAACACTACATACCAACGAGAAAGGACTAAAATCTTGCAAGAACATCTCCGGAAGACCGTCGAATGTTATGTTAATGATTTGGTCATTAAGAGCCACAATAAAGACAACCATATTAAAGACTTGAGGACGATGTTTGATCTCATGCGGAGTCACTAATTGAAGATGAACTCTACCAAATCCTTTCTGGGAATGTCCAGCGGTAAATTCCTTGGATTTGTCGTCACCACAAAGGGTATTCATATTGATCCCAATAAAGTAAAGGCATTACACAAACTGAAACCCCCAAAGAACCTCAAAGAACTCAGGGGATTGCAAGGACAATTGACTTATATTCGTCGGTTAATTTCGGACATCTTCGGAAAGTACCAACCATTCTTCAAGCTCACAAAGAAAGGTGTATCATTTATTTAGGATAATGCCTATCAGAAAGCATTTGAAGACATCAAAGCATATCTGGCGAATCCTCCTGTCCTCGTTACACAGAAATCAGGTAAACCGTTTTTGATTTATATCAAAGCGACGAACCACTCATTAAGTGATTTACTTGCACAAGATGAAGACAACGGTCACGAACAGACTTACTATCTGAGTCATACTTTAGTAGGGGCTGAATCTCGATATCCGATGATTGAGAAGGAATGCCTCGCTTTGGTATTCGCAATCCAGAAAATATGACACTATCTGGTTGGACAGATGATCTACATAATTTCTAATGTTAATCCAGTCTGAGTATTCATGACACAACCAGCTTTAATGAATTTGCGGTTAGCGAGATGGGCCCTACTCCTATCCCAGTATGACCTGCACTTTAAGCAACAGAAGTTAGTAAAAGGGAAAGTAATTTGCGATCTTCTAGCGGCTAACCCTATGAAGGATACAGCCGAATTGTACGAAGATTTTCCAGATGAAACTCATGAAATCAATATTACTTTGTATCAACAAGTGTGGCAATTGTACTTCGATGGTGCTTCCCGAGCAACCAATGTGGCGAGCACTCCTAGATATTCGAAAATATCTTCAGGAGTCAGAGTCGTCCTAGTTTCCCTAGAGAAACACATACTACCTAGAGACTATTCACTTACCAAGCCGTGCTCTAATAATATAGCTGAATACAATACACTGCTCATTGGACTCAGTTTCGCTCAAGAGTTGGGGGGCGAATATCTCAAAGCCTTTGGTGATTCTCAACTAATAGTCAATCAGGTTCGAGGAGAGTATGAAGTCAGAAAGCAAGACCTGATCCTGTACCACTAGGCGACCATTGAAATGACAGACTCATTTGAAGAATTCTTTATCGAGTACCTCTCGCGTCTCCAGAACGCATATGCAGATGCATTGGCGGCATTAGCGGTATCTTTGGCACATCCTCCTGAGACAGAACAACTGGTTATGGTGAGAACTCACTAACTTTTTATACTAGAATGCGCTTTAGACATCAAAGAAATGCACTCGACCAAAATCGAACTTGAGCCTCGAGATTGGTGATTCCCCATTATTGGTTATGTCTTACATGGTATTTTACTGAAAGATATAAAGGAAAGGAACTCAGTTCGATGAAGAGCACCGAGATTCTATTACAACACAACGACTCAAATGCTGTATCGCCGTGCATACGACGGTCTGCTACTTTGGTGTCTCTCAACCAAAGAAGCGGAAGAAGCACTCAAAGAAGCGCACGACGGAACATGTGGTGCACCCCAACCTAGTCCCGAACTCTATGATCGACTAAGAAGAATGAGATATTATTGACCAACCATGGTCAAGGACGTAGTTGACTACGCCCGACAGTATCACACGTGTCAAATACATGCAAATTATATGCACCAGGCTCCAGAGCATTTGCACCCTTCGGCTACATCATGGCCATTCGAGATATGGAGAATGGACGTCGTTGGTCCTATTTTCCTCCATCTGCCAAAGATGATCGCTTTATTTTAGCAATCACCGACTACTTCTCCAAGTAGGCCGAAGCAATTCTACTTAAAGAAGTAATGACAAACGATATCGTCAAATTTACCAAACACCATATTATCTACCGATACGGTGTTCCGAGACAAATTATACATGATAACGGCCCTCGGTTTGTCAGTAACGTCTTCATAAAATTCTGTGAAAAATTCAGAATTCAAGATGTTTCATCAACTGCATAAATTCAAGATGTTTTGTCAACCGCATATAATCCCACCGCAAATGGATTGGCTGAAGCCTTCAATAAGACCATCATAAAGATTTTGTCAAAGCTTGTGAGAACCAATAAGCAAGACTGGGATGACAAACTTGTTAAAGCTTTTGGACCTATCGCACCATCGTCCGCACGCCTACTTGAAAAACTCTGTATTCCCTAGTATATGGGTGTGAAGCCGTCCTCCCGTTAGAAATCTAAATTTCTTCCCTCCGCATCACCCTCGCAACGGGTATGGCGATGGAAGAACAACATCAAAAACGTCTCAAAAAACTTGAGATGTTAGATGAAAAACGCTTAGAAGCTCAACAACAAATTGAGTTCTACCAAGACAGAATTTCTAGGGCCGTTGACAAGAAAGTCCGACAACAAAGCTTCAAGGAAGGAGACTTGGTTATTGGCGTTCGACGATCAATGATAATCAATTCCAAGAAGAAAGGCAAATTTCAACCTAAATGGGAAGGGTTGACTCATTTGTAATAGAGACAATCTATTCAAACGGTGCATATCGCCTGATCACACAAGACGGTGACAAGCTCGTGATGCCAATAAATGAGAAGTTTCTAAAAAAGTACTATCCCTAGTACGTTCGGGATAACATATTAAATGGGAAGTTCCTAGAGAATACTGTACAGGGTATTTTTAAGGATAACCCGAAATCGGTTGACTATTCCAGATAGAAGTTAATCATCTGAATACTTTATTCTTAATTATTATAAAAATAATTATGAACTTCCCACTATGGCTATTTAATCATTTTCAAGAGGATTAAAATCCTCCCACTGTGACTTTTCGAGTATTCATTCGTCAAGATGAGATTCAATGACTCAATCCGGTCAATCTTCTTTTACCAAACTCCTATGGTGTAAATGTGGAGTGCTCGATGACTCATAATCCTCCACCATAAATCCCTCACTGATCAAATCAGTTGACGGTGGGTCCATCAAAATTCTTCATGGATTAAAATCCTTCAAACTCCTACTGTGTCTAACCTTTAACACTCCTATTGTTGAAGTTATGACATAACATCAAAAATTTCAACCTGCCAATCCATGACAATCATCGAACCCCCTTCGTGTCAAGATCTTATCACTTGACACCGAAAACCCCCAATGAGTGTTTTGTACAAATCGACATTCTCATTGTTATTTGTGCCCCTACTCATACTACTCATTTGGTCAAATCTTCCTACAGTTAGGGCCAAAGCTAAAATCTCCTCTCGATTCCTTCCATAAACGAGAGGTCCACTTACAAAATCGGAATTCCCTTTCGATAAATGAAAGATTTCCATCCAAATTGAGTGATCAAACCTTTAAATAGTTAGAGTCGTTCTAAACACTAGTGGAAAATCATGTATCGCTGACGGGCATTCCCGTCAAGGATGCCCAAATTCCCGTCAGTAATGCATATCCTTGACGGCTTCCCGTCAAGGATACGCCGTCAGCGATAGTCCCATCAGGGAAGAACTAGGGGGGGGGGGGAGCCGTCAGTAATATATATTACTGACATCATAAGTGGTGACGGCGAGAGCCGTCAGTGATAATGAACCATCGCTGACGGGAATCCCGTCAGCGATGTTTCTTTATCTCTGACAGGTATCCCGTCAGTGATATCTGTTACTGACGACAAATCGTCGTCGGTGAACACACGGACGCTGACGGGCTTCCCATTAGCGATACTACGTATCGCTGACGTGGGAGCATTCAGCCGATGTCTGGCAATATCGCTGACGGGCTTCCTCCGTAAGCGGTATAAATGCCTATAGAGTCCTTAGCATTGCGTTCAGCATTGATGGTTCGACAAATACAACGGATGTTCGAAGCGACGAGCGATTAAAGCACACAACAAACGCATGATGTTTCGCCTGTTGGAACCAATCCAACATTTCGGGAAAGTCAACGAGTGTCCAACGACAAAATTAGATTTGTACTCACAACCACGGAGGCGCGGAAATACTGCCAAGATAAAGACTCCGGGCTTATCAAAGTCATATAGTCCGGACGAATCAAACGAAGAACTAAAAGACGGAAAACACCGGAAACGGCAAACGTACACACCTGCGGGACTCGGCCTTAAACCGCAGCCAACCGGGGTGGCTCGGGCCCATAGCCGAGCCACCCCAGGGTGGCTCGGCTATGGGCCGAGCCACCCTAGGTGTGGCTGGCCAAGGCCGAGCCACCTCAGCGGTGGCTCGGCAAGGCCGAGCCACCCCATGATGGTGGCTCGGCCAAAGCCGAGCCACCCAGAGGTGGCCTCGGCCAAGCCGAGCCACCCTGGGCTGGCCTCGTGCCGTAGCCGATTTGCCTACCCTGGGGTGGCCTCGGCCGAGCGAGCCACTTTCAGGGTTGGCTTCTGGGCATGAAGCGAGCCACCCTTTATACAGGTG